TTAATAAAAAACACGTCCGTTCGCAATGAAGAGGCTACATTGCTACATTTCCCAACAAACAGTCCAGAGACGTCTTAAAGGATTTGGTTTAACTTCACATTAACCAGCACATAAACTAAAGTTAGTGCCCATTATGGTGAAGCAAAAATATATAAAAACTTCACAGATGACTGGAAAAAAGTAATGATTTTTCAAGTCATGAGTCAACGTTAAAGTATCCTACATGTCATGGTGTGATTTGTAATTAATTTTTGAGGTACTGGAAGGCTGCATATAGTAAATGGGACAAAAAGACAAGATCAAGAGATAATTAGTGATGGACTAATAGCACAATGGTTTCCAAATATAAAAAAATACATTTTTATGTATGATGGGACATCATGTCACAAGGTGAAAACCATTACAAAGTTTTTAAAAGAAAAAAAGATTGATGTCTTTGATTATCCCAGAAATCATCTGGATTTAAATCTGATTAAGAATGTATGTAAACTGCTCAAGCAGGAAAATTTAACTGAAAAAGTTAGGTTTAGTGATGTGCTTGAACATAGTTTATAATTGTTTTAACTAATTTTTCTAATGGAAAATTGCATTGTTTTTAAAGTTGAAAACTAATATGTTAAAATTGTTTTTCTTTTTAGTGATTTTGAGCTTAGCTACTTACACTGTACTTTTAGAAATGATTTTATTAGTTAAACATCTGTCAGATGTTTATCTTTTAAATCATTAACTAAGTGGTCAGACATGAAAACCTTCAAATTGAAAATCAACTTGACAAAATCAGTTAAAGGTAATTTAATTTTAAAATACTTAAGTTATAAAATCTTTAACATTTAAAGTTATTGAAAATAAGGAAAAATAATAAAATAACTTTTGTATCAAAATGTTCTTTGTACATTGTTATAATTCAAATTGTTTTATGTTGATAGTCAAGTCAAAATTTTAAATGGAGGATATTTAGCCTACTTTTGATTTATTTAATTTTTTATGACTAAAATTAAAATACTGTTAAATATTCATATATATTGTTTTAAGACAATGCTATGATAATTAGTTAATAGTTAAAAAAATAGTATGTGAAAAACTTAGACCTACCAAAAGTCTTTTTACAATGAGCCTCACTTCTTTTTTTTTCAATTTCTATTTTAATAAAGCATATGTTGATAAAAAAAAACTAAATTTGGTAATACTAATTTATTCCAGAGATAAGGACCATGCTAAGTAACAAATCTAGTCTTTTTTTTTTTTTGTTTTTTAAGTTTCAAACTTTAAAGGTTTATAAATAAGCTAAAAAATTTCTTTTACAATTAGACATTAGGAATAAAATAGAATATTGGTAAAATTTTTTGCCATAAATTAATTTAACATATTTTTGAAGTTTTAAATTTTAATAATTACTTTATTAGGCATTCATACAACAGACCAAAAAATTTTAATTGGTGCTGAGAATCGCAGAGAAAAATTGCTGTCATCTGGCCATAGTATGAAAAGTCAAGAAAATTTTGAAATTAATTTTCTGTCTCTTATGAAATAGTGGAATTTAAGTTTTATTATTTCTGGAAAATTTATATTTTTACCCTGCATTGAGTTTTGACTCATGACCTTATTGTCAGGTCAAAATTGACCTTAACTTTCATTTGAATAAAAATAAACGATCAAACTTTTTGGTTTTAACAAACAACGATTTATTGTTACAAAGATAATAAAAAGTTAATATTAATTATAAGTAAATGTGTTCATCCAATTTATATCAACTCCAAATAAAAATAAAACTTACTCAAATAGTAATGCCTATTCTGAAAAAATATTTCAGATAATATTTGTGATTTCTTTTTTTTTTTAATCAAAACTGTCATAACCAATAGAATTCACAGGTTTTTAATGCAAAGTAGAATGGGAATGATAGGAGGTGATGGGAGTTATTGTTCAAATTTAAAGAGGGTAAGGGGGCGATCTTATTTAAAAAGTTGATGGAAATTTTTCTTCAAATTGAGGAGCAAGGTTCGTAATAATGGCAGTGGAACTTAATCTCCAGATGTAATTAAGCAGTGGTTTCTATTTAAAAAATGGTCTATAAACTAATAAAGAGGTAGATAAATTTTCCTGATGTACTAACATAATATCCCTGAAGAAAATAAATAAACTTTTAATTATAATATTATTAATTAAAATAAAAATAAATTTTAATGATAATAAAAATAAAATAAATTACCTGACTTTAAAAGTTACTTTACTAATTCAAAAATAACATAAGATTTATCCTTTACAACAGAAGTTATCAAATAAAATAAAGTTTTTGATCTTATTAGTAATTAATCAGATATTGACAGATTATTAAGATTTGAAAGTACCTCATCGCGTGAGTTCAAAAGTGTAAAGAAAAGAAGCATGCTTTTAAAACAGGATTTTTTTTCAACTTTAAGTAATTTCAAGATTTTGAACTTTATAAATAAATTCAATTTGCCAGCTTTTAATCAAAATCTTGTAACTCAAGGTTTCAGCTGAAAAATAAAATTAAAATCCCTGGACTTTTTGGGACCCTTTTCCTGTTTTCAAGAATATAAAATTTTGTTATAAAATTTGAAAACTTTTCCAGGATATTTCTCAAATAATGAAATATTTTTAAGGCCTATCAGAACTTTTCCTTAAAATTTGTGGATCATAAATTTCTTAAAAGAGATATTCCATGAGAAAGTGGGACAGGTATGTAACCCACCATCTCAGATTTTCTTCATACTTTGTAAAAATAGTCATCTATATAAAATAGACTACCTTGCAAAATTTTAGTGCTGATATCAAAGGGGTTTTGGAGTTATTGTTACTTTAAAATCAGCTATTTTTAGCAGTTTTTTCTGTTTGGCGGCCATTTTGATTTTACAATAGTTTTTGTTTTACAAGTTACTGTTTAACTAAACATGTAATTAAGCTGAAAATTAGCACCTATATAGTTTTTAGGACGAGGAATCAGAATATAATATTTGTTTTTAATGAGAATATTTAGAACTATATCAATATTGTGATTGCACTTCAGCTACAGATATTGTTGAAATTTTACCAAAGGCAAAAAGGAGGTCTGGTAACTATGGCAGCATTATCTTTTTGTGATTTTTTTTTTGTATTTATTAAAATAGATACTCTAATGAGTTTTTTACTGCAAAATTTAGAGGTGGGTTTTTTGAAATTTTTTCTAATAATATAGGAGTATTATGTGAAAAAATAAGTATTATAGGTCTGTGTTCATAATTTTATTTTAAATAATTTGACATTTACAATTTTCATTAGTTATCAAAAATATTATACAAAAGAAATCCTTTTAACCTATTATTTAAAGAAACTTTAATTCAAATGAATATTTCTTTTTTAAATAAATTTTTGCTTTCTAATTAATGACATATTATGTCATCTTTGACTAAAACAGAAGAAAAACTCAATATTTAAAACCCTAAGACTTAGTCTGATTAGTCTGATGTTTTACCAGCTGTTGTTTGTTCTCCATAGCTAATCATTAATTTAAAAAAAAATATAAAAGCAAAGTTAAAAAAATAAATACATAAAATGCTATATATTGTACATATTTAAAAATACTAATTATAAATGGTAAATATTTTTTCCATTTTTAATAAATGTATTAAAATGTATTAAATATGTCTGTGTATTTTGTGTTTATTTATAGCTTAATTAAATATTAAAAAAATAAAATGAACAAGATTTTATGTACAGTTGGTATTTTATCAAATGATCAATGCCATAAAATGGTGTACACTGAATCAATTGGATTGAAAGATTTATCAAGCTATTCAGAGAAAGATAGAAATTTATTATTATGGAGATTGGGCTAAGAATATTAAACGTTAATGTTAAAATCTGTTTACATCATGAACAAATTTTACTTAACCGGTTTGCCAACTCCCAAAAAATTGCATCGATCCATTTAAAAAGCATAAAACTAATATAAATGGTAAATTTTTACGTTTTTAACTTATTGTGCTGTCTTTTTACAAAAAATACATCTAGTACACTTTCAATTAGTTTAAAAAATTTTAATTTTTTTATTTTATTCCTAACATTATTATATTATCTAAATTAGTACTTCCTAATTTTGGCAAATTTTATTCATTTATAATATATTTATAGGTGGTTTGCGAGAAATTGATATTCAACTGGCAAAGGGGCCATCCATAAAGTACGTACGCAGTAAAACCACTGATTTAGGACCCCCTCCCCCTTGTACGCACTTGTATGCTTTCAACAACCTCCCCCCCCCCTTCTGCGTACGTACGCATTTTTTATTACAAGTTCAGGCTCTCCTCCCCTTCCTTCCCCAACGCATTAATTTTTCAAAACATTAAACACAAAAAAACATTTTGTTAATTTCTCTGTGCTTAATTAAAAACCGGAAAGTTATTTGTTAATAACTTTCCAGTTTTTGTTAAAGAAAGAAAAATATTCTAAAAAAGAATTCTTGTTGCGAGTATTTATATTTCATATTTCCTCAAATGGTGACTTAAATAAATCAAATATGTTATCAAATACAGGCATGAACTCTGCTTCCACACTTTTATAATCAATCTCCTCACTGATATCTTCACTTTTATTAATAGATTCACTGTCACTTACACTATCCTCACTCTCCATTTCAACCGTGTTTTTTTTTTGTGTATGTGCTTTCTTGTGCCGTTTCATTGCAGCCTCGCTTGGCCAGTATTTATTGCACTTGTCGCAAATTCCGTTTGAGAGCTTTTCCTTTAACGATGGGCAATACAGATCAAATGGTATAATTTTGTATTTTAATCCTTCTATAGGTATATCATGTAGCAAAAGTCGATGTGTCAGTGGTGCAAACGTTGATTGTTTTGATACTTTTTTAAAATATCGAGACGGTTCCATTGCTTTGTAACCATTCTCGCAGTATTCGTAGATTGCCGGAAATGGAATGAAACGTTGGGGGAAGTTTTTCAGCCAGTTTGTTTCAAACGGTGTGCAACATGACTCCTCTTGGCATTTTACGATTTGTAGGCTGTATCGTGATTGCAATGTTTGTCTACCCAAACAGGATCTGGAATTGGTGGTTCATATGCTTTCCCAACTGGTACAGCCTGGCAATGAACAGGATACCCGTCAATGACGGTTTTCTTCCAAACTTGGGATAAAACGTCAGCCGCTTTTTGAAAGTTCTTTACCTCCAATTCATAGTTGATTGTTTTTCCAGAAGAATCAAGGTGATTGCCAAAAAAATCATGAGGAAGGACTATTCCAGCCAAATCACGAGAAAGAGGTGCCATTCTTCGTTCTACGGGGTTAAAGGCTGAAAGGCCAGCTGCATTCACACCATGAAGAAGGGCATCTAAATTAAGCAAGCGAAAGAGGTCAACATCAGTTGCTAAGGTTTTAGGGAAACGTGGTGCTTCATCCTGAGCTCCATCAGTCTCCATTAACATAATTGGTCTACGTTTAACCAACTCGGTTTTAAAAAGCTCTCTAACATCAAAAGCATGTGTAAAAACATTTGATGTATCGTGTTTCGCACTTCTTATGCGTATGAAAGTGTCCCCACTGTATGATACATTTCCAGTATTGTTAATTTCGCATACGCCTTACACTGATGGGATCAATTTGTGCTGTGAGCTAACGACAAAATCGTGATCCATGAGTTTGACCTTGTATTCTATATGCATCAGCAACGGCGCTTGAAGGCTTGCTGCAGCAATACCCAATGGGACCCTGGCTTTATCATCGTTGGAAATGAAAAGCACAGCTTTTGGTCCAAACAATTTGCAAACTTCGAACATGTCGTCAATGAATGATTTGGCAAACATTCTATCGTCATTTTTTTTTCGCATTGAGTTTTCTGGACGTAACAGCTTTACTGGAACTGTGCTGACATGTTTTTTTCCTTCAGAAGTGTTTCCACGTCGTGGTAAAAGACGAAGGTACAAACCACTCCTACTCAAGGTAAAGCCTATCTTTGTCAACTCTTCCTGAAGGTCATCTAAAGTGGAGACGCTACGGAGACATTCTGTTTTTCGACGTTCGTCAGCTGCTGATAAATTTTGCACAATTTTTATAATTGTTGATAAAAGCTCTGGTTGGTCAACTTCGAGACGCGGTCGTCCAGTATGGTTTCGACTAAACTGTTTCAAAGCACTTGATGCTTCAGGGATGTTCTGACACACAGTTTCGATGCTCTCTTTAAGTTTTTGTCTTCGTTTTCTTTGACGAGCTGATTCACGAATCAATCTGAAAACGAAATATCAGTAAAGCTTTGATTCCGTTATAAAAACTTCTATACTTAAGGTTTCGCAACTTTTGGCTAATGTTGCAAAAGAAAAAGTACGCAAATTCTTATTTCAAATAAGAAAGTATTATTTACAATAAGATTATGAAAGTTTCTGTCTTTGAAAACGTTTGGTTTTTATAGCCAAGACGCTTTTCTATACGCATAAATAAACTCTGTATTATTTAACATATATCTCTTGATATTTACTAGAAACCTGACAGTTAAGCATTCTAAAATGAAATATCAAATAAAGAAATACATAACTAAATTATCTTACCTGTCCAATTTTGTTTTTTCTTTTCTTATGGTTTCTTTCACAGTGTTTATTTGTTCCTTTGTTACGGTAGATAAACCAGAATCACGTACGACTATCAAGGATGCACGTTGTGATTCAAGATCTGAGATTTTCTTTCGACTCCTAACTTGTGCCGGATTTTCTCTTTCTTTTTTGTTGTCTGTTAAATCTAAATTAAAAAATGCCAAAAAATAAGCTATTATAAATTCTTGACAATTACTACTAATCAATTTATTTTGGATATAGAAAAATAGGTCTAGTGGTCAACATTATAAATTTCTGTGACTGCTCTAAGGTCGTACAATGTAGTTTGATTTACAATACGGTTAAACTCAGTAGGCCGGGTGAATAAAAAAGAGCAATTGCTTTTACTCAGTAATTGTTCAGTTTTACGTGAATAAAAAATTGAGCAATTATCCTCAAATTTCTATTAACGTAAAGTTGAGCGTTGTTGGAGTAAATTGTTCAGCTTTACGTGAATAAAAATTTGAGCAATCTTGGTCAAATTTTTATTCACGCAAAGCTGAACAGTTACTGAGAAAAAGCAATTGCTCTTTTTTATTCACCCGGCCTAATGTATAGAAAATCACAAGAGAGAAAAAGTTTTTAAAATATTACAGAAATTAGCTTACTAATTTCAATCCTTGCAGGCTCTGTCGTAGTTGCATTTAGGAAACTTCGTGTTTCATTTGACGAAGACGGCGCTGGATGGATATCTTTTTTCTTTTTGCTAGGTGGTGAAATGGTATTTCCCCAGAATGACATAAGTGATACTTTCGACTTTGTTACTTTCTCTTTTAACTCATTTTTTTTTTTTCATACAAGGATTCATTGTTTTTTACTATTTTCCACAACTCTTGTGCTTGCTGATACTGCTTTTGTTTTTCAAGTGTTGAATATGCTTTTTTATATAACTCAAGGAATTGAAGGTATTTTTTCTCGTTCCCGCGCGGCATCTTGGTCATAATAAATAATAAGTTTTTTTTCCAATGAGGCGTATTGAGTTTTCGAATAGAATCATAAAAGTTTTTTTTGTTTTAGTTTACTCAAGATAATTGCCGTTACATTGCATCATAAAAAGTGTTGGTTTCCATCAGCATTTAAAGTAACTATTTTTTACAATTATCACAATGATTGTCATATGCATTGTCACATGTATGTTCATTTCGCTTCGCCTGTCCTTAGCAATCTTAATGTATGTTAATATTAACTTTAATGATAAAAAAAATAATAATATTACCTTTTTTTATTTTATTGTTTTTTAAAAACAAAATATTTACCTTTTAAGAGAAATGGGAAAAACCAGGTTCGTAATTAAAAAAAGAATTCAGAAGAAGTTTTCTTTGATTACAGTTTTGTTACTTTTCATCTTGCTACAGTCGAATTATGTTGCAAAAAATGGAAAACATTATTTGGAGATATTATAGCTCGATTTTTTCTCTCCTCGTTACTTATAAAGAAAAATAAAAAACAATTGTAATTGAAGTCAGAAAAAAAAATAACATATATTATATTATGATTTTTTAACGTGAAATTCAATGTTTTTATAAAAAAACATTAAAACACGTGAAATTCAATGTTTTTATAAAGAAGTTTAGGAGAGATTTAAACCGCGTACGTACTCGCTGTCGTTAACACCCTCCCCCCCCCTGTACGCATTCGTACGTTTCAGGATAACCCCCCTCCCCCCATACATGCGTACGTACTTTATGGATGGCCCCAAAAGATATGTGTTCAATTGGTATTAAAACAACACCTGGTTTTAAAATGTGTCCTTCATGTCGAAAAGAAGTGGTAAAAAAAATAAATAATTGGTCTACCTTACAGGACCACAATGGTGAAGATGATTTCCAGAAAAAACTAACATTGTTAGAATTGAATCAGATATTATTAATAAGGTGGACAGCTTATATCGTAATGATCAGTTGCCAGGTATAAAAGATTTTGTAAGTGTATCCAAAAATAAACATGTATTAAAGCGATTACTTCTTTGCAATTTAAAGGAATTCATTATTGAATTCAAACTAGAACACCCTCAATCCAAAATAGGATTTTCTAAATTTGTTCAGTTAAAGCCAAAATGGTGTATTTATGCTGGTCAAAAAGGAACCCATGCTGTTTGTATATGCGCAAAACACCTAACAACAGTTTAACTGCGCAAAGCTTATGCTTTGCGCAGTTAAACTGGAGAAGAATTACCATGAACTTATTGAGAAGATTGTTTGTAGCAGAGAGTCAAGGGAATGCATTGTCCATAGATGTAATCAATGTCCTGAAATTCAAAATATTATAAATTATATGACTGCAAATCTATTGCAAAATGAAGGATCATTTGAAGAGAATGACAAAGTGGATGAAGATGAAACAATTGAATACAAACAATGGAGTACAACAGATAGAGCAGAGCTTCTAAGTAACACATCTACAATAAGTCAATTCATTGAATGTCTTAGTGGAAAACTTGATAGCATAACATCTCACTCTTATATTGCTAAAGCACAAAGTAAATATTTAAATACATTAGAGTCATCTATACCCATAAACGAAATTATTATTTTAGTTGATTTTGCAGAAAACTTTAAGTTTATCATACAAGACGAAATCCAGAGTTACCACTGGAACCAACAGCAATGCACACTAAATCCTGTAGTTATTTATAACAAAAATGATGAGGGTTCTACTAAAAGTCAACCAACATCTCTATGTTTTATATCTGATGACTTAACACACGATGTTGGGTTTATTTATTGTATAGTAAAAAGAACTGTCCAATTTGTACAAGAAATGTTTCCCAATACCATAAAAATCCACTATTTCTCTGATGGTTGTGCTGGTCAGTGCAAAAATTGCAAACATTTTTTAAATTTATGCCATCATGTTGAAGATTTTGAGATGCAATGTGAATGGAATTTCTTTGCAACATCACATGGAAAGTCACCATGTGATGGCATTGGTGGAACAGTTAAAAGACTTGTTTCAAATGCTAGTCTTCAACGTCCAATTGACTTACAAATTCAGAGCGCTGAAGAAATGTTTAACTTTGCAAAAGATAACATATTGGGCATCCACTTCTTTTTTCAAAAGGCAAAGATATTTTATCAGTCCGTTAATCTCTGACTCTCCAATTGAATAATGCAAAGACTTTATCTGGTACAAGAAGTTTCCACCAATTTATTCCACAGGATGCAACAAGCATAAATGTCAAGAGTCTCTGAGCAGGAGGAATTTAATCTAACATTCAACCTTACTGGCTCAATTCAATATCTTCAATTCAAATCATTGTAGGAAAATATTATATCTGCAAATATGATATATTTAACTGGGTTGGTTTGGTATTTGAAGTTGATGAAACAAATGAAGATGCCCTTGTAAAATTCATGCATCCTCATTTACCTAACACTTCTTTACACTGGCCAAATAAAGATGATTGTTGTTGGGTTCCTAAGCCCCATATTTTAATTATGATAAAAAAATCATCATCCTTAAGATCAGGGTACATATACCAGATAGACACAGATGATTTGCATAAAATCCAATTTTTAAATTAACTCAATCATATTACGCCAGTTTTCTTTTAGAAGCAATTTATGAATTATTCAGATACAAGTTCTGGTTTTTTATTGACGAGTTTTTTATTTAAAACTTGTATTTGTTTGATTATTTTGACTTAATATATTACATCTATTTAGGCTTGGTCGGGAAGCGGGAGCGATCGCTCTCGATTGCTGACCACGTAGATAATATTTAGTTGCGAAAAGCTGGCCAGATTTTTTAGTCGTTTTGAGAACATTTTAAAAAGCAAAAAAAAAAAAAAAAAAAAAAAGATTAATTGGACCGATGAGAGACAATTACAAAAAAAAAAAAAAAATATAATTTATAATAAACTTTTAAAATTTTAACAATTTAATTAATATAAATTTAAAACATTTATTTTTGTAAACAATTTATTTATATTCTTAAAACAATTCTAGAAATCTCAAAACGTTACAAATCGTGAATAATACAAATTCTAAAACATTTCAACAGAATACTCTAGAACTTTATTTCGCTTAATCAGCGTATTTTTTGAACCAATAGAATTAGTTTGTTCGTTAATTTGGCGGGTTTTTAGTGCTCGCAAATATTCTTTTTATTCTTGCGCTCAATGATGTTTTGGGAACATTCAAGTTTTTTATGTTTCCATGTATGTCCGTAAAACAAAAATATTTTGTTTCATAAATAAACTTAAATGTTCTCAAAACGACTAAAAAACCTGGCCAGTTTTACGCAACTAAATATAATTTCCGTGGTCAGTATTCGAGAGCGATCGCTCCCGCTTTCCGACCAAGCCTGTATATATATATATATATATATATATATATATATATATATATATATATATATATATATATATATATATATATATATATATATATATATATATATATATATATATACATATTTTCACTTTTTAAATTTAATAATAATCATACTAATTCAATAACATTTTTTAAACGTTTGCTTTCAGATTGATAATGATACAAGTTTTATTTTTTGATTTAGATATCTTAATGATATCCTGGCTTATCGATACGATATCCTGTAAATCCACTCACACACATAAATTTTATTCACACACATAAATCTTGTAAATTCACACGTAAATCTTAAAAAAGATGTTTATATTTTTATCTATAAATTGTAAATTTTATATAAATAAATTGTATATTTTTTATGTTTTTCATTGTATATCACTATTTGTATTAAAAATCGACTTTGGAAATATTGCAAGTGCAGAGTTCAACATACAATTTTGTTTTATTTGCAAATTCAATATACAACATAACCAAGTTTAATCACGTTTAATAATATTTTGCGATATTTTCTCCAGCGCATTTAAGCGATGATTTAACGTTATATTTCAACTAACTCGACGTCTTTGAGTCACGTTAAATCGACGTTTTACTACCAACGTTACAAATCCTTGCAAAATCAACTGCTTTAACAACGTTAAAGTAACGTTTTTCAAGTAACGTTTTTTCAACGTTAAGTTGCGGCGCCTATGCAACGCTTTTTAAGTAACGCTTCTTCAACGTTTAGTTGAGACATTTTTGTAACATTTATATATATATATATATATATATATATATATATATATATATATATATATATATATATATATATATATATATATATATATATATATATATATATATATATATATATATATATATATATGTATATATATATATATATATTCATTTTGCTGAAGTGGTCGCGGGAGACAGAGGGGTTGAATAAACACTGTTTATATTTGATTTTGATTAAACAAAATTTTCATTTTTTTTTTTAGATTAAATGAAATGGAAAGTAAAGATATTGATAAAAGTTTTTAATATTGTTTCCTTTTTATTAAGATTTTAAAAAAATTATTAGCCTTCAATGTAAAGTTATTATTAAATAAATTTTAATGTTTCCTTACTTTAAAGTTGAATTTTTTGAAAATGTAACTGACATATTAGTAATATTATAACATATTTTATCTTACATTGTAAGTCTTTCATATAACTATTGCAATATGTTACTACTTTTTGTATCATGCATCTTTTTCTAAAAAAGATTTAGTCTTTTAATCTCAATATTCAATTATATATCTTTATTATGATATGTTTTTTGTGCAGATTTTTTGTGCATCCACGAAATTTTTTTACAGTTGTTTATTGATATATTTCTGATTGTTTCATGCTTTTTATTGAATCATTGTTATTTTTTTCTATAGACAGTTTAGAACAAACTATTAGTAAATAAAGCTTAAAATATTTTAGTTATTTAGTCATTTAAACTTTTTTTTTTGTAATGTCAGTGTAATAACTAAATATTATAATAAGGTAAGTAATTTAAAGTTGGCTTTTAGGTGAATTTAGACAGCAGATTTGTAATTTTAGTAAATTTTAATAATTTCAATTATATAGTTTAATGATACATGCTAACTAAACATTATTATATAATTGATATACAAGCTCAAGGTGTTTAATTTATTGATACACACTAGCTAAAGATGTTGTAACATAAATTGTAACTTGAAGTTAAGTTTATTTTAGTTAACATTATATTACTATTGTTATTACTTATTTCTTTTTAATTCTTTAGTAACACTTACTTCATTAATTGGTAAAAGATTAATGTGTATATTTATGTGTATGTATTGAGAAATATAGTCTGATTTTGTGTATTATGCAGTATTGTACTATTTAATATATACTATGTAATTGTATATTTAATATGTACTATACATGTATATTTAATATGTAATATTTACATGTGCCATTTAATCTTTTGTGTCATTGTATTATTTAATCTTTAATATCCTTGTCATCTGTTGCAGCTGGTAAGGTTTCTATATTATTAATTTGAGAGATAAGTTTGGTAAATGCTCAGTTCATGTAGCGCGTATAAATAGAGTTAGCAATCGATTGCATCAGGCTAAAATTAGAGCCAATATTTATCAAAGACAGGCATCCAAGCTCAAAAAAATCGATGTAAAAGAAAAAAGCTAGAGCAAAAAAAGT